CCTTATCACCTAATAAAGTTTGTGTTTTCTTGTTAACCTGTCTTTTGTTACAGAGCTCCAACCAAGAATCTAAGATGGGTAGAGGAAAAATTTGTCCTCCCCTACATTATAATAGATAAAATTTTATAGTCCATGAAAAAGACTTGATCTCAATGAAAATAAGTGGAAAAATAGTAACTTATTCTATTGAAAATTGATCAAGAAATTAAATTAGCTTAATTGAACTTGCTCTGGAAAAATACTTTTCCCCTTTTTCTCTTAAACTATGTAAATTTTAAAAATACATTTCCATGATAAACAATTAGAATGAAACAGGAATATACAGCCTCCCTTCACATACTTTGAATTCCCACTTCCCACTTTTATTATCAATTTTAGGCTTTTTTCATAAAAATAATTTCTAGATAAAAATTCACCAGTATTAGTATACTTCTCATTAAAATGTTTCTATTTAATGAAAAGAAGTCAAAAGTTCCTCAGCATTAGAAAGGGTCCACATGTCAAGGTCACACAACCAGGGCTAAAGGTCCTGTCCTTCCGTCCTACCATCTCAGTTTGTTCTCTGTCACGTCTCACCATTAAATGATGTACCTTCTGCAGATGAACCTCTGCCTTACCTTTCTTTGCCTCCCTCCCTGCCTCCTTTCCACCCTCCCTTTTTTGTCAGCATTTACCAAGCCCCTCTCATGGGTGCGGCACTTTTCTCCGGTCCCCTTTCTGGGAGCGGAGGAAGGCCACACAGAAGGCCTTTGTGGAAAGGAGTGCAGCCAGATGAGCACTGTGATGACGGGGTGGGGAGCCCGTATACGTATCTGATTGTGTATGTATTTAAGTTCCAAGCACACTTGCCATCAGGAACAATGCTAATTTAGCCCATCCCAGACCAGCATCCCGGGGATCCTGTGGACTCAGCCCTGACAGCGCCCAGCCAGCTGGTAGTGGGGCCACTTGTAGGACTGGTAGCCTGGTGCCCTCAGGACTTTCTGGGCACTGACCTTGTTAGGAAGGAAAAGACTCGGCTCGGTGTCACAGGCAAGTCAGATATAGTGAGATGAGAGACCAAAGTCAAGAAAGCAAAGTAAGTTTTAATACACCTGCATAGAGTAACAGATTGGGCCCGCCTAAGATAAGACAGGCAGGCCTGGCTGCTCTTTCTGAGGCTTCTTTTATGTGGTTTTGGCAGGGCAGAGAGGTCCTTGATTGACAGTGGTCAGCTATCTAGGCCTGTTCTGATCGGTGAAATGAGGACAGGGGCTGTGCTATGCCTGTGCCTCTCATGTTTCTTATCTGGGGGGACCCTGGACATTTCCTGAGTCACTCTTGGACCCTGTGGCTTCATCTGATTAACTATTTGAGTCATTTCTGGCTTTGAGGCTCTATTTGATCAACTCCCTGAGTCATCTTTGGGGGGCCCTTTCTCCTTTTCATCCCGCTCATTTCTGTTTTCTGCCTAACAACCTGCTCAAAGCAAGAACATTTGCTTTGGCTGAGGTTGAAGTTTATTTGCTTATCTATTATTTGCAATATATAGGAGGATTTTGCAGGTGACTAAACTAAAACGAAGCCCGGAGACATCCCTTACAAACATCTCTTAAGGAAAAATATACCCAGATACTCCCAGACACAGATCTGGAAGAGATGTGAGGCTCCTCGCCCTCTGCCCACCAGCCCCTAACCCCTGAGGGCCTGTAGGGAGGGGCTACAGCAGCTTGGCTATAAGCTACCCTACAGGCTGGCAGTTCCAGCTCCTATGACCCTGGGGACATTGCCCAGTCACCTTCAGACTCATTTCCTTTGTTTCCTCAGCTTTATTAAGGTATGATGGACAAAATTTATATATATTAAGGTTGTACAATGTGAGTTTTTAAAGGCATATGATGTGATTGATATGCATTATGAAATGATTGCCACAATCAAGTTAACACATTCATCACCCCACACAGTTACCATTTTGTGTGTGTGTGTGTGTGTGTGTGTGTGTGTGTTGAGATATTTAAGATCTACTCTCTTATGCGTGATCAAAACCGAAAGTTTCTGTGATGACTGCCCTTGCACTGTTCACCATGTAAGAACTTATTCACTATGTAAGAACTTGTTCACCATGTAAGAACTTGTTCATTATGCTTCAGAAGATTGGAGACTGCTGAGAATTAGGCGTGGGGTTGATTAATGATTGTGCATTGAGTCCCCTATACAGAATTTTATTGTTGTTAACAACCATATGATCAATAAATATGAGCGATGCCCTCTCAAAAAAAAAAAAAGATCTACTCTCTTAGCAAATATCAGCATAATTAACTACAGTCACCACCTTCTGACTTGTTTCTGGAGAAGTTAAAAAGGTAGGGCCCACCTACACCTTCATTTCCCTTTAATCTCCACAATTGTTTCTAATAAAAATGTTCTAATCAAAATGGCACTCTGAGAAGCAGACTGATCTGCCAAGCCCTCCCTAACCCTCAGACCCCTGAGCAAATTTGCAAATTAGCTCCTGAGGGCTGGGCAGCCCTGGAGACACAGATCAGGTGGCTGAGAATAGGGAGGCGTGGCCAAATCGGCTTCCTCTTCCTTCTGTAAGGATAGCTGTTTTAGGCCTGTCCTCAGAGCTGGAGCAGAGTTCTGAGGTGAGAAGCAGGGGTGGATGGGGCTCAAGCATTCCAGGCATGGAGCGTGGAAAGGAGGGAACCGCACCTGTGACCACATTTCCTGCCAAGGAGCAACCCTGGAGTCAGGAAATGCCCCAAGCAAGGAGAGGGTCTGCTGGGGCAGACAGGAAGCCCGAGTCCCATCCCCAGCCCCACACCCAGTTCCCTGACATGGCTGCCCTCTCTGCTGACTCTCCGACAAGCCACAGCCTCTACTCTGCACGCTGGACCCTCAGCTCCGCCACTGCCAACTAGCACCAGGTCAGCCGCCTGGAATCAGCGCCCTTCTGGTCTCACCAGCCCGGTAGGGGTGGCAGAGGCAGGAGGAGCTGTAGCACCCCTTCCAGGCACCCGCCAATGTGCTCTGGGCAAGGCAGCGGGCTCTGAATGGCGCTGCCTGGACCTCCTTTTGCCTTGACTAAGCCTGAAAAATATTTACCAAGCGAAGTTTTAAACTACCCCATTTTAATATCTGTACTTATTTTTAAATTTTTAATCATGGTATAATTTAGAGAAATGAGAATGTGAGATACAGTTAGGTATTTAACTCGCTGATCTTCAACCATCCCTGGCTACTACCTAAAGTAATCCAGGCCCCCCACCTCGCATTCTGGAAGTTCACCTGGGATCAGAGTTCCTTTGGGTCATACAAACACCTCTGATCTCAAGGAAGCGCGCTTCCAACGCCCTTGTAGATATGTCCGTCCACAGACTTTGTTTTCTTCAGTCTCAAGCTTCCTCTCTCTCGAGGCAAAATAAAAAGTAAGATATTATTTGTCATATCTGGCGTCTGCTCACTTACTCCATGAATAGTTAGTTGCCTTTTCCCCAGTCATTTGCTGGCACTAGCTTCTAATAATTTCCAGAAATGAGGCCCTAAAGAAATGGAAAACATCAATGAATCTGCTTTGTAAACTGCTAAATGCTATGCTGATCTGACCACATGCAGGTCACTTCTGAGCTGCTTTCTATTTGTAATGGGACCATGTGTCTGCTTTAAATCACCTCCTTTTATCATTATTATTAGTCATTCAAGCTATTTTTTTCCAAATAGCACTGTAGGGGACAAAAAATCTTTTCTCCCTTATGTTCGCTGCCTGGTTTCCTGTAAATTAGACTGACAAAAACCAGATTGACAAAAGAAAAACAAACAGAAGTTTATTAACATGCACATCGTTCCTGTAACACATGGGAGCATTCAGTGATGAGTCATTCACCAGGTGGTTAGAATGTAGGCTTACATGGCACCTTAGCAAAGGAACAATACATTTTTAGAGAAGTAACAGGCAAAGGAAAAGGACCTTGAGTCTCTAGGGTGGCAAATTGTGGGAAGGCAAACATATGAGGAAACTATTGGAAGATAGGTGCTGGTTAGCAAACTTGTTATGAGAATTCCTCTGGTGCCCTCTCTCTGCTGACAAGGGTCTGGAGTTGTCTCTGCGGACTGACTTGTGTCCTTCCTGGTGGAGAGCAGAAAACGGGCACCTTTATAAATGTATGTCCTGCTTTTAGGCAAATACAGGAAAGCAGAGAGCTCCTCTTGTATCTGCTGCTTCTTAATTAACCTTCAGCTCAAAATAATCCTTACGCCAAGTGGCATATTGGTGGAAGAGGTGGGGAGTGGTAAATTTCCCTTTTCAGCACAAACAGAAAAATGACATTTTACACACGTCTCCCACCTAAACACATGCCTCTGGTCAGTTGGACTGTGGGTCTGGCTGCTACTTGGCTTCCGAGAGGGCTGTTTAGGCCAGAGACAGTCCCCACTAGGAAACCACAGCTTCAGGAAAGGGAGTCCTGAAATGCGATGACGGAGTGTCCCCAGCTAAAGAGGATGCTGGATCACTCAAAGCCAACACATGGGGAAATGGAAAGATGAACGTTTTGAATACACTTGAAAACACTTGTAGGCAGAATACAAAGAGGATTTGTTTTTTATTTTTATTTTTGCATTTCTGTTTTTACCATGGAATTATGATGCATTCTCTTAAAGTTGCCAGACATAGACAGCATCTGTTAAGCCAAAAAAAGGGCTGAAATGAGAGGCAGACTGCATATTAAATTCTCCTCCGGCCTGTGGCCCCCTCTAACAGCCCCAAACACCAGCCAGGTATTTATTTCCAGGGCTCAAAAGAGAGCTCTGGGGGTGCCAGCCAAGAGTTGGGGATCAGCTCCCCCGCCCTCCCAGGAAGGCGAGCTTCCATGAGGGGCCTGGAGGCCTCAGCCCTTCATGCAGCCCTCGCTCCTCCCGTTCCCCCCACTGACATACTGAATTTCACTCATTTAAAAATAGCTTCCTAGCAGTGAGGAGCTATCTCTGAACCTGGATCTCAGGTTGGAAATGCAATGCGGGCCTTCCTCAGCCAAAAGCTGCTCAGCAGGAGCTGAGCATAATTCTAGATCGCTGCTACTTTACACACAGCACAAGAACGTTTTCTGTCCAGAGTAAGCCCAGGTTTTTAAAATATTCACTGCGATGCCAGAGTCCTTTAACTAAGCCCTGACTTCCTTCACCTCCTTAATAATTCATCAGGCATATTTATCTTCAGGGGAATCCAATGGGGTTGCTCTCACATTTTTGCAGAACAGCCTTGAAATTTTCCGAGGATGTCTGGATGTCTCACTGCTAAGGACTAGCCGCAGGTCCCCACAGCCCACCCTGACCCCTGTGGAGGCACACGGGGGGGCCCAGATGACTCTTCAGGCCTCAGCAGACCGTCCTGGCCTGGGAACCGATGTGTTTGTCCCACAGAGCCTACAAGGGGCCAAAGAAGACGGCAGGTCAGAAAGAAGTGCCAGTGACTCGGAGTGGGCACAGGCCCTAGGAATTCCCGACCTCCTGCCTCCACTTCCCACAGCCCTGGGGGGCTCTCAGGTATGTCTGTGTTCCTGGGGGGAGGGCTCCTGGCCCCTTAAATTTTGCCCTCACATCCCTGACCCTGAATAATATCCCCTGTGTGGCAGTTGCAGGGTTAAGCATTAAGTGGTTGTGTTTTTGATCATTCCTTCCTTTCCCAGAGGGGTCCCTCCCCTGACACCCTCGTCACCCACCTGTCCTTATCTGCCTCCTAGCTTAAACTAAAACAGTGATGACCTGCCATTCAGTGAGTTCTCTGTGCCCAACACTCTGCTAGGGAGGGATTAGTATCTCCATCTGATGAAGAAACTGTGGCTTAGAGGGGTGAAGGTCACACAGCTAGTCTAGGAGAGGGAAGAAATTTCTACCAATGTGATGCTGAGGAGGGTGGGTGGGGCCACGTGGGGACCTGAGTGGGGCCCTGCCTGTGCCGCCCTAGCAGGCTCTGGAGAGTCATGGAAGCTCAAGCCTTGCAGCCTAGCACAGTGGTGGGCAGGGTGGCAAATGCAATCGCGTGCAGCTTGGAGGGAGTTGGAGACAAAGTACTGCTTGGTCTTTGCATGGACCCCACCCATTGATTAGTGAAGAGAAAACTCTGGGTAACCAAGTCCCATCTGGTAACTTTAGTGGCAACAAGAATTGAAGTGTCTTTAGGTAATTATGGGTCCAGCCTGCCTCGCCCAGCATTTCCTCTGGGGCAGTGTTCCCGCACCCCTCTGCTGTGGGCCACCAGCGGGGCCAGGCTGAGCCCTGCAGGGGGTGAGACACCTCCTTCTGTGGGCCTGGGCCTTGCTCCCAGGCCACACTGGCCATGGTCCCTAGCCTCCTATGGGCCCTTCTGTCCCTGCCTCACCCTGTGTCTGGCTGTGGCATGGTGAGTCTATCCTGGGCCTAATCATGCTGCCACCTTGCCTGGGCCCTGAAGGTCCCATCTCCTAGCTGCAGCTGTCAACCCAGTGTCTGCCATACAAGGTAACTGACGGCGGCTGGGGCCTGCCGAGTCCCCCCAAAGATAATGCTCAATCCCTTGACTAGGCCAACCCCACAGGGAAGTGCCAGGGCCCCTGCTCCTGAGTCCCCTCAGAGTCACAAGGAAACAGTAACTGGGAGTCTGCCCCGGTGCACCCCTTGAGAAGTCTGCCCCACATTTGCCCACCCTGCCTGCAGTCCAGCCCCCTTCCTGCTCCAGACTCGGTCTCCTTTCCAGAAGTTGCCGTGCTCTAGTGGGCCAGGCCTGCTCCTCTTATGCTGCAGGGTGGGCGCACCAGCTCTCGTCCTGCTAGGGAGGCTGGGGGCCTGCCCCTGCCTGCCTGGCATCAGAGGCCTCCTGACTCACACTTAGAGGTAGCCAGTCTAATCGTGACGAAGTGAAATGCAGTGGTTCAGTATTTGTACAAGCGTTGTCTTAACTAGCATGGTTCAGAGCATGCACTGTGGACACAGACCAGGGCTCGACACCTTTCTCTGCCATTTGCCAGCCCTGTGACCTCAAGCCAGTTCCTGACCCTCTTCACTCTTGCTTTTTCACTCACGGGGAGAAAATGATGTGAAGACTTAATAACGTGCTCAGCAGAGCGCCTGGAACATAGGAAGTTAGAGCAAAGTTGCTGTTGCTGTTGGTATGATTTTATGATTATTTTTTCCCTTCGGCCCCCATCAGCCCCATGCCTGACATGGTTCAGGAATGAGGTTGGGTAACAAGACAGCACCTTGTCTTGTTCCGCTGCTTGAGTGACAAGCAGAAAGGCCACAGAGCTGGAACAGAGGCAACCACACAAAGACATTGTATTTAATCTTAACATTTTCATTTCTTAATATGTAAACACAATTTCAAAAAATGTTTGAGAAAAGGAAAAATCCCCCAATAATCCCATTAACTCCATATTATAACTATTCCCTTTCAGTCTCTTTTCTCCTCAGATAATGTTGAGATAGTTACACTTATAATATTTTTACCAGTCCTATACCAGGCTTTTTGTCTGAACCTAGAATTATAGTCATGAATGTTTTCTAAGTTGAACTTGAGCTTCATAATTGTCACTTTAATGGCTGAATAATAGTCCATGGTGTGCTGGTATTATAGTTTATTAAGAGTTATGGTGAAATGTCAGAGTTTTTATAGATGCTTTATTTTTGGAAATTTCCATGGAATTTCACAGAAGCTGGTCAATTGGTCATTCCTTTAATGAAATATCTGAACAAGAATCACAGTCAGCTCTGCAGGACGGGGGCGATGTTAGGGAGGTTTAGTGGGTGAGGTGGGGTGCTTAGCCAGGGAGGCTGTGTGTGCATCTGCTGACAGGAGGCCTCAACTACTCAAGTGTAAAATTTTGAGGAAAGCACAAGGACCCACCAGCCTTCATATAGCTCCTCATTTGCCTTTCATTTTGGTCCTTGAAAGCTTTCCCCCCAGGACCACCTGTGGGTTACACCTTTGCCTTGGTAGGCCCCATTAGAGGCATTACTGGGTAGTATATTGTCATTCAGCAAGAATCAGTTTATCAGATTAGCTGTGTATCAGTTCTCAGAGTTACCATATCCTGCCCTGTATTCTTGGGTAACTTCCTGTGGCTTGTTGCATCTCAAGAAGACCAGGAACCACACAGGAAGCATTTATTCATTCATTGAACAAATATTTATTGAGCTCTCACTGGGCACCTAGTGTTGTTCTAGGAGTGGGAGATAGACCACTGAGCAGGTCAGGCAAGTTCCAGCTCTCTTGAAATTTACATCCTAATGGGGGAGATAGACAATAAGTAAATACAGGAGTATTTCTATGTCAAAGATGTCAGGGCAAAATATGTGATAGTGACTGGCAGCAGGGTGGAGACATCAGACAGGATGGTGCATTTGAACCAAGATCATAAGACTCATGGAAAAATGTTCCAGAGAGAACAAATTCAAAGTGCAAGGACTGTGAGGTGGGCACAGGGTTGGTCTGTTCTAGAAACAAAGAGAAAACTAATGTGTCTGGGGAGCAGAGTGCAGCAGGGGCAGAGAGGAAGAACTCAGTGGTAGAAGAGTAGGTAAGAGCCTCATATGGCCCAGATGCCGCCGCAAGCAGCTTTGGTGTTGTTCTGAAGCAGTGGGGAGCCACTGGAGGGTTTTAATCTGCCACAGACTTTATCCACTTTGTGTTTTACACAGACCACTTTTGGTCTGCGGAAAATGGACTGCCTGCGGGACAAGCGGGAAAACAGGCAGCCAAGTGAGGAGACCTCTGCTGAGCCCAGGAGGAAACAGCAGTGGCTTGATCAGGGTGGTAGTGGTGGCTGGTAGAAGTAGACAGATCTTGGATTTTTCTGTAAGCTGAATTTACAGGACTTGCTGGTAGATTGGATATGGAATGAGAAATCAAAGATGCCCCCTAGGTTTTGCCTTAATAACTGGGAGGCACTCCTTACCCCACTGAGAACACCAAGGTAGAAATGGATTGAGAGGGAAGGGGACAGAGGTTTCTGTCTTGGACATCTTAAATTTGAGAAGTCTATTATATATCCAACTGGAGATGTCAGGTGGGGAGTTGAAAATACAAGTCGGGACTCAGGAGATAATCGGTTTGAAAAATAAAGCGGAATACAGATGGTTTTTAAAGCCACGGAGCTGGATGAGATCTCCAAAGGGTGGGGTGAAGAAACAGAAGGGAAGAGGCAGGAGTCTGTGCCGTCCTGTCTCCACCTTCTAGGTAGCCAGTGGAGGCAGAAGAGCCATCAGAGAAGACTAAGAAGGAGCGGCCAAGGAGGCTGAAAAGAAGCCAAGGAGAAGCTGGTGTCCTGGGAGCTCAGAGACTTTCTCTATAAACGTCCCATACTCTCGTCAGAATAGGTTGTCCATAAATATTTTCAGGCAGCACAAGCTCTGTGGCTGCTTATTTGTGTCCACAGCCCCTGGCACAGACCTGGAATGTTGAGTGATGGGAGCTGCCTGCCCGGCTGGCTGGCAGTCTTCTGGGCTAAGAGCCTATACAGCTTCACATCATCTCTGACATCAAGGCTGAGACTTCTGCCCGGCCCCACAGGCTTGGTCCAGTCAGACCCCACCCGGCTCCTTCCCTGCTCCTGTTGCACACCCTGTGGCCCTCCTGGCAGGTCTCACCCTACCCTGAGCTGCCCATGTGGCATGAGGCAAGCTCATTCCCACTCCCCACCCCCCCAGATTCTGCTGCTCCCTCTCCTGGAATGCTCTCTGTCCTGCTGCTTTTCCTAATCTGGCACCCATTTTAGGTTCAGTTGAAGGCTCAGTTCCCCAGGCTCTCCCCACCTGCCCTCCTCTGGGTACTTGATGGATTTCCCTTCAGGTCCACCCTGTGGATTACACCTTCTCCCACCAGGTTCCTGAAGCCAATGGAAATCTTCAGCCCCATCCCCCATATCTAACCCATTGTCACACTCTACCCTGAAATGCCTCTTGAATCCCATTGCTACTCCCCGTCTCTGCCCCTCACCCTGGCCTAAATCACCATTCATTCCCATCTGAACTGCTACATCTCCAGTCTCGCCCCATCCATTCCCCATGCAGCAGCCAGGGATCTGACTCACATCACTTCTCTGCTTAATAACCATCAATGACATCCAATCCCTTGAGATAAAATACCAAACACTTACCAAATCTTTCAAGGCCTCATGTGATCCAGCCAACTGCCCAGCTTCCCAGACATTTCTCATCCTATCACTCCTTAACTCATGGTGCCCCAGACACACATGTTCAGTTCCTAAACACACAAGCGTGTACCACCTCTTCACACCTCGCACATGCTGTGCCTACGGCCCACGTGGGGATAATGCAAACCTTCCTTTAGGTCTAGCTTAAAGTCTGCTTCCTCCGAGAGGTCATCTTTGACTCCTCCCCCAATCAAAATCAGGTACCCTCTGTTAAGGTCTCTTATAGCACCCTGTTCTTTGCCTTGAAAATACTCATCACAGTTAATGATTATAAATTGCTTTTTATTTATTTGTTAATTGCCTATCAACCCTACTTCTCTGGAAGCACCACAAAAGCAGGTACCACATCTATTTTGA